ACAGGACCACCTACTCATTCATCAAAACCCAGGTCAGGTGCTGCATCTGGGTTCCTCCGTGGAAAAGTAGGCGTCCTTGCCTTCCTCCACCTTCTAGCGCAGTGGTCCTCAGCCTTGGCTGCACATTAGAATCACCTGGGAATCTTTTTAACATCCTGATTTCTGGGCCTCACCTCCGGAAATTCTGTTTCTTTGTTATGGGGTGGGGCCACAACATTAGTAACAAAGAAACAGAATTTCCGGAGGTGAGGCCCAGAAATCAGGATTTTAAAAAGATTCCCAGGTGATTCTAATGTGCAGCCAAGGCTGAGAACCACTGTTGTAGAGAATAGTTACTGCGCCACAAGGTACTGAGCACAGCTGTGCGAGCGCAGTGCTCACACTTCACAGGCTCGCAGCACCTGGAGAGAGCCACGCTCATTGCCCCGCTCTGCAGAGGAGAAGGCTCAGTGTTGGAGAAACTGTGGGATGTGTGCGCCTTATCAGGAGGGGTCAGGGATGGAGCCGGCTATGCAGCTCCGGGGCGGGACGCGTCCACACGTGGGCCTCTGTGCTCGCTGCACCGGGCATTGCCCTGTGTGGTGTTCCCTGTGAGCAGGTCCCCACTGTGCAGCTGCACCTCCCGGAGGCAGGGACAGTCTTTCCATGCCTGGGCCGCTGGAGGCGCACACCCTGAGCTGAATCACATCTTCACCAGGAGGAAGTCAGTGCCCAATGGCTTGTAGTAAAAATCACCCTTGAGGATTTTATTAGTTCCTAATTGCTGCTGTAACAAGTCGCCGCTCGGTGGCTTCCAACAGCACAGCTTTCTCTCGGGCAGCTGCCTGCGATGCCGGAGGGGCAGGTCTGTGTGCTCCACGGCCAGAACCATCTCCCGGGCCACGGCTACCAGGTGTACTGGACCGGAAGGTGGTGGTCGTGGTCTGTGAGGTCATCTACACTTCTGGCAATTTCTACAGAAACAAGTTGAGGTGCCTGGCCTTCCTCCACAAGCAGATGAACACCAACCCTTCCCGAAGCCCCACCGCTTCCGGCCCGACGGGAGGAGGCATGTGCCCCACAGGACCAAGCGGCCACGCCGCCCAGGACCGCCTCCAGGCATCAATGGGACCCGCATCCGGACAAGAGAAACCCGATGTGGTCCCTGCCTCCCCGAGGTCGTGCACCTGACGCCTGCGCACGTCTGTCTACCCAGGGTGTTGGACTCATGAGGCTCTGGAATGCCAGGCATCACAGCTGCCCTGGGGGAAGAAGGCCAAGACCCTCACTGGGAGGAAGAAGAGCTCACAAGGCCACTGACACGGGCAAACACCACACGCAAAAGAAAACCGGCAGGTACACTCAGGTCCTCAGAACTCCTGGACTCCTGGTCTGAGCCCAGTCAAACTGACTGTTCATTCCTCACGCTCGCCCGGCCTGCCTTCCCCCATCGCCTAGGAAGTGGGGATGCCCGCCTGCCTTCCCCCATCGCCCAGGAAGTGGGGATGCCCGCCTGCCTTCCCCCATCGCCCTAGGACATATTAAAACAAAGACTTATATTTTTGATATTTATTTTATATATTTAAATGCCATTTAACAAAGAAAAATCAACCAAAAAAATGAGTTTGCGTGTCACCTCTGACAGGCGTGTCATAGGTTCGCCATCACTGCCCTAGGAATTGGGGATGCCCGGCCTGCCTTCCCCCATCGCCTAGGATGTGGGGACCCCCAGGAACTACCCTCTGGCGCCACAGGCATGTGGACTTTGAAGGCGGGGAACACAGAGGACGCCTTAGTCACTGGCTGAAGAAAGGCCTTTTAAAGAGTTGAACCGGCTCCGAGAGCTAGGCAGTCGTAATTTGCCTGTGACCTACTCATTCACGAGTGTTGGGAAATCAGCCATTGGAACAGCTGGCTCAGTTTCAGTATTTATAAGTAAGCTGAAACCTCAAGTTTAAACTCTCCGCATGCTCAGGTGCTGGACTGTGCCGCCGGGAGGAAGGAGCCAACGCCGGGGGAAGGGTGGGCCCGCTGCGTCCGACCGCCTTGGGGTCACGGGCATCACCCTCTCACCCTCCCTGTACCTATGATCAGGAATGAATAAATTATTTTAAAAGAAATAAAAACAGCACAAGTTTATTACCTTATAGTTCTGAAAGTCATACGTTTCCAATCGGTCTTAAAGGGCTAAAAGTCAAGGCAACAGCAGGCCGGACTCCTGTGTGTTCTAGGGGAGACTCCATTAATTTGCTTGTTCAGCGTCTAGCAGCCGCCTGCTGTCCATGGCTTCCGGCTCTACCACCTTTAAAGCCAGCAGCATTGGGCCAAATCCTCCTCACTGTCCTCTCTGACTTCCTCCCCCACGTGCAAGGCCCCGGGGGTTGCACAGTCCCTCTCAGAGCATTAGGACATGCTTCCTATTAGAAGGAGAGCTGGTTAGCAACCTTAATTCCATCTGCAAACTTCATTGTCCTTTGTCATGTGACTTTTTTTTGTTAATCTTCTCCAGAGGATATTTTTCCTATTGATTTTTTAGAGAGAGTGGAAGGGAGGGGAGGGACATAGAAAGAGAAACATTGATGTAAGAGAGACACATTGATTGGTTGCCTCCTGCACAAGCCCAGCCCAGGGCCCAGGGATTGAGCCTGCCACCAAGGTATGTGCCCTTGACCGGAATTGAACCTGAGACCCTTGAGTCCTCAGGCTGATGCTCTAACCACTGAGAAAAACTGGCTAGGGCCTTTGCCATGTGCCTTAACATATTCACAGGTTCTGGGGATTGGGATATAAAGAAAGACCTTTGAGGAGACATAATTCTGCCTACCACAGAGATGCCTTAAGTCACCCATGAAAGTGCAGTGCACTGCGAAACGGCTTAGAACAGTGATTCAAAATGGATTCTGGAGCAACTCCCAGCTCTACCATTGAGCTCTATTACTTTGGGCAAGTTACCTAATGCCAGAAGCCGGTCCATCCTTGTTGCTTGACACAGTCGCTGCAGAGAAGAAACATCTGCACAGCATATGTTTCAAGGGACCTGGCGTATATGGCATACTGTTCTTAATATGTTTGCTCCCCTTCTTAGCGCTATGTGTTCTAACCAGGGCCACCTCCCTGAGAAAGGTTATTTCCCCAGGTGGGGATATTTCCCTGGAGTTAGGAATTAACAGGACTAAGGAAGAGAATGAATCAGTAAAACCCCCCACTAGTGTTACAGAAATACCATGTACTACTTATGAAGAACTTGGACTAAGACTGTTGGCAATAAATTTGGGACGTGTTGGGCCCACATCCCCATGTGTCTGCCCACCAGGGAAAGCACCAAAGCCTATACCCCTGGAGACCCACCAACACAGGGCAGTCCCAGGGAAGGCAAGCAGCGGGGCTGGGAGGACATAACCTTTACTGGGTAGGATAATCTTCAGTCACTTCCTTGTAGCTTATCAGTAGAGCAGTAGAATAGGTGACCTTGGAATAGCCCTTATAATGGAACACAGAGATTAACCTAGACAAGATTAAAATCAACAGAACTAGATAGAGACAGGATTTTTGGCAAAGGTCAGATAAACTATGGAAATGAAACAAGGAACTGTAGAAGGTTACCCAAAACATACCATGATGTGACTATAGAGTCATGCTTATAGGACCAAATGGTATAAATACAGATGTAACAGGAGAATAAAGAGAGAACCTGGCTATGCTGATCAACTGAACGCTGTCTCCGTGTCATTCCTTCTTTGCCGACTCCGTCCATGCCTTTGGGAACCCCTGGACCTGCTGGGGCTGGACCCCAACAACCTAACTTCTCTGTGCCTCAATTTTGCCATCTGGAAAATGGTAGAACAACAGTGCCCACTTTGCAGATTTGTAAATACTTAGAAGAAGGCCTGGCATGCAGTAGTGTTATATAGGCACTTGTTACATATATACAATGTTATTGGAACAAGTTTGTAGTGTCTGGCCAAGCTAGGCCTTGGCCCGGCTTTCAGGTACCTGGGAATCAGAAACTGACTCAGGCATCTTGTGTCTCTGTCATTCCTGTCGTGTTTGTTAAGTGGCAGAGGTGATGACACCATCTGTACTATTTAAATTGTTTATCCTTCTTTATATTCTGCGGAGTGAGTGATTGAATTGGTAAGAATTAACTATGGCTTTGATAAAACTTCACTGTAAACATTTGCTGAGTGAATGGGTGCTGGATGGATGAATCGACCCTCAGCTTTGTCTCCACACTCATCCCTCCACGTGTGTCGCCTTGCTTGGCTGTCCCAGGCAGGCAGTGAGCGGGGTGGGGGCGTCCCGGGCTCTGCATCTGACGCGCATGTGACCTCCCACAGGATGCAAAGTGTGTTCAGCACCACGGAGAGCGGCCCCGGCAGCCCGAGGCCCACACCGCCGGATCCCCTGGAGGCCTTTCCCCAGAGGAGCCTGGAGGCAGGTGACATCGCGGTGCTGGCTCTGTACTTCCTCTTCGTCCTGGCCGTGGGACTGTGGGTAAGCCAGGCCAGGGGGCGGCAGAGGGGAAGAAACTAAATTCAAAACTTTAAATTTTAAAAAATGCACTGACCGTTGGCCCTGGGTCAGGTGCCGAGTTAGGCACTTTCATTTACGTAATCTCATGTAATATGCACGGGTCCTTATGAAGAAGAGACTGTCACCATGCCCATCGCATAGATACGAAAACTGAGGCTCAGAGAATTTCAGTTTCTTATTCTGTTGGGAAGTTAGGAGAGCAGGGGTTAAAATCCATATCCCCTTCACGTTGAAGCCCATGCTCTTTTTTTAAAGGAAGTTTTTCTTTAGTCATATGATTCAAAAATAAAAACAACTTTAAAATGAGATACAGTGCAAAGTCCATGACTCCCCTTCCCTCCACAGGTAACCACTGTCATTAATTCTGTGGTAAATTAGTGTATTCTCTCATAGTTTCTTTATGCAAAATCCAAGAAAATATTGTGTATATTTTCCTCCTTTAAAATAGGAGGCAGTAGCCGAAACTGGTTTGGCTCAGTGGATAGAGCATCGGCCTGTGGACTGAAAGGTCCCAGGTTCGATTCCAATCAAGGGCATGTACCTGGGTTGCGGGCACATCCCCAGTGGGAGATGTGCAGGAGGCAGCTGGTCGATGTTTCTCTCCCATCGATGTTTCTAACTATCTATCTCTCTCCCTTCCTCTCTGTAAAAAATCAATAAAATATAAAAAAATAAAAGAAAAAATATCTAAAAAAAATAAATAAATAAAATAGGAGGCAGCCCTGGATGGTTTGGCTCAGTGGGTAGAGCCTTGGCCTGTGGACCGAAGGACCCTGGGTTCGATTCCGGTCAAGGGCAGTACCTTGATTGCAGGCTCCTCCCGGCCCGGGCCCTGCTCAGGGCCCTTGCAGGAGGCAACCAATCGATGTGTTTCTCTCACATCAATATTTCTCTCTGTCTGTCACAGATTCTGCTGGGAGGAGACTGAGCCCAGTAAGGTGGGGCTGCCGGGAGTTGGGAGGATGGGGCTAGTGAATCTCCATGAAGGGGAAGTGCTGGTCAGGCTTTTGGGGAAGTTGGGGGGGTGTGGGATCCACCTCAAAGCCACACAATGTGGTCACTGACACCTGCTAAGTCTGCCCAGACCTCTACGTTCTGGCCAAAGCAGCTGACTCCTCAGCAGGGCCCAGCTCCACAGGGTGCAGTGACAGGGAGACTAGAGGGGGTGCTTTTGCATTCCCCCAGGCGGATGTCCTTTGGGAAGGAATGCTCCACCCAGGAAAGGTGGTGTTGTGCAGCATGGGAGAGGAACTCAGCACAGGGATTCTGCCAGCTGTCCCTTCAGCTCTCTCCCAGAGCCACAAACCCCAGACTCTCCTCATGTGACTCTAGTCCTTTCCGCTGTCCCTTTGCTGGAGCCCAAGGTGAGTGACTGCAGATGAAATTTTGTGCACTGGCCCTTTAAGAGGGCGCTTATGTCTCTAGTGGACTCTAGTTCCTCCCTGACAGACAGAAACCCTGCTGCTTTTCACAGCCAGATGTTCTGTGGGCGCCTCTTCCTGGCTCTTTGCTCAGAGAGAACCCCCTGCAGCTGAGAACCTCAGCCACCATCTCTGGTTGTGGGGCCAGCCCTTTTCTTGTCTCCGCCCTTCCTACCCCTTGTGATGTGGCTTTTTCTGTAAATCCTTGGTTATAAGACTCCTCTTCAGCTAGTCTTCAGATTATTCTATAATTTAGTTATAATTCCAGTTCCATCCAGCAAGAATCCTCTCACCAACATTCACACCCAGAAGCTCAGAGAAGTTGAACAGCTTATTCAATATCACACAAACCACTCAGTGGTCAAAATGTCTGTATTAAAATGCCTTCCATGCCAGGGAGCTTACTTCTAAAGATGGTTTTGTGGACCAGCTAAAAACATGGGCTCCAAAATCAAGCTGAGCTAGGCTTGAATTCCTGTCCCTTCTGCTATCTGGAAATGTGTCACTAGATAAGTGGCTTTAATTCTGAGCCTCAGTTCCTCACCAACTCCCAACCTCATGGGAGTTAATAAGAATTAAAGTGAGATAATGCTTTGAAATGCTTAGCATAGTGTCAGACACTATACAAGTGCTAACACAGAATAAATGATACACAGTAGGAGCTATTATAGCTAAGCCATGAGTGTAAAACTCAAATGCCTAGGGGTCAAGTAGGTTATTATCAATGTGTGAAGCAGGACTAGTAGGGGCTGTGTTGACCTAAAGAGTGTGTCTCCTCTAAAAGTATTCAAATTAAAATTTTCTTTATAACCACGGGTCAAACAAAATCTATTTGGTGTTTAAATCTAGCCCCTTGGACTCTCACTTTATCGTCTGCAGCCTAGGGATGCCTCTGTTTGTTCTTCTTTTCCCCTCACCCACCTTCTTCTTTGTTTTAGTCCACAGTGAAGACCAAAAGAGACACCGTGAAAGGCTACTTCCTCGCCGGAGGGGACATGATGTGGTGGCCTGTAAGTGATCTTTGGTTCAATTACAGTCGCTTCTCAAAGAATTTTCAAGTGCTGCTGTTCTGTCTAGCCTTTGCTTGTTCAGGACTCTGTAGTTGCACGTTGTGTGTAAGTTACAGTATAGACTAGAGAAGGCTTAGCTCCAATCCAACTTTGTTTAATCAAAAAAGAATTTATAGCTCACCTAAGGGGGAAAACCTAGGGTTTCAGTTATGGCTGAGTACAGGGGCTCAAGTGATATTATTAGAACCCGGTTTTCCCCTCTACTTATTCTCCCCCCGCCCCCTCCATTTAGTCTTTCTATTTCTATCTATCTATCATCTCTCCTCTGGATGGGTGCTATTCCCAAACAGACCCGACTTCATGTCAATGAGCTGGTGGATGCTGCTCTAGACCTTTCATCCTCCTAAGTTCCAGCCCAGCATGGGAAGAGCCTCTGCTTCCATGGAAGTGTCCCTGGAAAATATCTCATTTCTGATTATGGCTCATGCCCATCCACTGCCAGTGACTGTGGCCAGGGTGGTTTGATGTGCTCACTGGCTCAAGCCTGGGTCACACACTCAATGCCTGAGCTGGGGGATGCGGAACCTCCCCCGTGGCATATATGATGAGAAATGAGAGGAACTAAAGCCTTAAGGAGATTGGGACGGTATGTTATTTTCAAGTAGATCTAAGGGCAATGCCAAACTCACGTGCAGCACAAACACACATCACCCACACACATCACATATATAGACAAGCCTCTACTTAGTAGGCCCAGGGAAGGTGATCAGGAATAATACTTTTACTTAGGATCCTAAAATAAGGGTCAAATTTTTGAACTAAGAAGAGGGAGAATTTCCCCCATTTGCAGTAAGTTAAAAGAAATGCAGAGTGTAAGATGCAGAGAGATAATAGGTATCTGGGCCTCTAGCAGAATAGGATTGGAGCTCTTTAAACCCCATTCCTCATAGAATTGTCGCTATTTTCCTCTTCCTGAAGTTCCCTGGGAGACTCCACTTGCAAGAGCAGCCTTTTCCCCAGAGACATTTGTCAAAAGCAATCAGTGGCAATTGTTTAACATTGCAGCTGTCTGAGGCAGCAATAACCGTTGGGGCATACGATGGACTAATCAAGGCGCTTAAAGGAAAAGCTGGAGAATGAGCCGTTCCTAGAGTATTTTGAGAAGCTCTGACATAGTCCTGGGAATATCAAAGCCATGTGATATCCAGGGCTGTGCACATGCTTAGAAAAGACCTGAAAAGGTCCTAAGCTCTCACCTCTGGCTGACCGTAAGGCTCTGCATAAACAGAAAGTGAGAACTAGGACAGAAATATCCAGGTTGAGTGTTGAAAGCATACCTTGACATGCACACAAAGCTTTCTGGCAAAGGCTGGGAAAATTATTTGTTTTAGATATGTAAGAAAATCTCTGCCTAGTTATTAACTGACCACTAAACTAAGTGGACACATGACAAAGAATACAGACTTTATAGAATTCATTCAAGAAAGTCTATAAACAGCCGTAACCGGTTTGGCTCAGTGGATAGAGCGTCGGCCTGAGGACTGGAAGGTCCCAGGTTCGATTCCGGTCAAGGGCATGTACCTTGGTTGTGGGCACATCTCCAGTAGGGGGTGTGCAGGAGGCAGCTGATCGATGTTTCTCTCTCATCGATGTTTCTAACTCTCTATCCCACTCCCTTCCTCTCTGTAAAAAATCAATAAAATATTTTTTTTTAAAAAAGAAAGTCTATACACAAATAAACAGTAGCAACAACAAAAAATTACTAAAACAATCAACTCAGGAATGAGGAACAATCAGATTTCTAGGGTTGCCACTGATGTTACATTAAATGTCCACTTTTAACAAAACATTATGAGTCATGCAAAAAAATAAGAAAGTATGATCTATATACAGCAGTGGTTCTCAACCTTCCTAATGCCACCCTTTAATATCCTCATGTTGTGGTGACACCCAACCATAAAGTTATTTTTGTTGCTACTTCATAACTGTAATTTTGCTACTGTTATGAATCGTAATGTAAATATCTGATATGCAGGATGTATTTTCATTGTTACAAATTGAACATAATTAAAGCATAGTGATTAATCACAAAAACAATATGTAATTATATATGTGTTTTCGTATGGTCTTAGGCGACCCCTGTGAAAGGGTCGTTCGACCCCCAAAGGGGTCTCGACCTACAGGTTGAGAACCGCTGATATACAGGAAGAAAAGTAGTCCATAAAAAGTGGCCCTGAAGAAGCCCAGATGCTGGACTTACTGAATAAAGACAATAATCCTTCACAAACTCTTCACAAAAAAATATAAGGGAACACTCTCTAATTCATTCTGTGTGTTACACATTACGCTGGTACCAAAATCAGACAGACACCACAAGAAAAAAAAACTACAGACAAATATCTCTCATGAATATAGATTCAAAAGTCCCTAAGAAACCAATCCTAGCAATATATAAAAAAGATTATACACCCATGGCCAAGAGAGATTTATCCTAGAAATGCAAGGTTAGTTGAACATACAAAAAAAGTTGATTAATGTAATACACTATATTACATTATAATAAAGGACAAAACTACATGATCATTTCAATATATACAGAAAAGACGTTTCATAAAATCCAACACCCCTATATGATCAAAATAATAAACTCAGCCAACTAGACATAAAAGGAAAGTTTTTCAACCTGAAAAATGGCATCTACAAAACTCCACCAACATTTTTTAAATATTTTTTATTGATTAAGATATTACATATGTGTCCTTATC